GGGGGGGGGGCTCGAGCACCCCCCTGCCCCTACCTGGCTACGCCCATGCCTGCAACTAAAAGTCGACAAGGGTCATCGTTATTCTATGGCCATAAAACCTCATATATGGGCGATTCCACCGTCACCGGTTGGACATTTGTACAGAAAAAATTTTCTTTCTGGTTTAAATTTAAGTATAAAGCAGAGTACGAAAATAAACTGTACAAAACAATTCCCATTTGCTCATCCATCATCATATCATTTGTGGTTTTGTACAGTTTTGTACATAGTCAGAAACAAACTGTAAGATTCACTGTCATTTTCCCCAACGAGAAACGTTTGCTTTTCGTTTGTGACAATTGTACCATAGGGTGATATCACAAACGTTTCAATTACGTGAAAAATAATTTTTTCTGTAAATTTTCATATCCAATTCAATTAAAAAACATTTTTATTTTTTATTCATTGCAGCCATTCGTTTTGTGTTTAGTTATTGCATATGTGTACATACATACATATATTTTTCTCTGCACGATTCATTTCGTTTGTTGTTTCGTCTGTAACTACTAAACTACTGTAGTGTACTATCACCAAAGTGAACTCAGCCGTTTTGTTTTCGTATTGTACTGAACTGTTGAAGTAATAAACGAAACGAAATAGTAACGTACAATATAGTTTATTATCGTACCCTGGTATAAAGTACTCAACAATCGTACATTTTGATAAAGCTGCACCTAACTGATTATTATATGAGTTATTACAAAATACGAAAAAAAATCCAGATTACTTTTATATGGAAAACATCTGATTTATTTCTTCTGTCGGATGGGATGGGACAAAAAAAAAGAACCTGCTTTTTGGAGAGGATATATTTTATGGAAACTCTGCGAATTTATTTCACTTTTTTTTGTGAACTTGATGTCTTATAATAAAACAAAGAACCAGGAATACAAACAAAGCAAAAACTACAAAAAGTGGCTTTATTATACAAAAAATCCGTAATTCCTCTGTCACGGGTGGGACAACGTTGGTCACAGGTAGGACACGTACGAATTTTCTATGAAAGCGAGCTTTTAGTGTGGTCCATATATAAAGATTAGTTATTTAAAAATATAAGAAGCCAAGTAGGGGTTAAAATCCTCTTATTTTTTTCTTAGGATGGTGCCTTTTATATAGCAGAAAATGCTTAGCCCCGTCAGCCAAAAAAAAATTATAAAAAATGAACGCGATTTCTTAGCGTCTTGATATTTTCACTTTTACCTACTTAAATTTAATGGACTACAAAAATGCATACCTAAAAATTCTGAACAAAAAGTTTAAAATTTTTGGGTGTAATTGTTAAAGTTTGTTGATTTTTTATATTTTTTGTAAGAAGTTTGAAATGTAGATTTATGTGGTTCTGGTTAGGTAATGTGCTAGACTTTTATAAAAAAAAAATACTATGAACATTAGTTTAACAAAATAAAAAACCAAAACTGGTCAATATGTAACTTAACTTAATCAGCTGACCACAAGGGTATATAGATAATGGACGAGTCCGCGCATCCCCCCTCAACCCCTGCGTCCACCTCAACAAACAAATAAAGCTTATCAGTCCTGTAAACCTCTGACAACTGCCTCACGCATAGCTGTCACGGTTGGGACATGCTTCCCAGTTGAATTATTCTTATCTAACTACGTGGAAACGACAATGCAATTGTAGTAAATATTTGCAATTCACTTCTAACATTATGTAACAAACACGAAACACAATCTCAACTTCTGTAACTAAATGTAACAACTTTTAGCTTTTTTGTCACGGGTGGGACAAGACCAATACTGCTTAATGATAACTCATAACATAGATAAAGCAGTCACACAATATAACACAATCTTATTAAAAGCAGATGAGTTCTGCTATATATGTTTTTTACCAAACACTTGAATTATGACTCTAAAATTATTTGACAGTGCATTCAACACAACCTACTTTACACTCAATCAAAAAATGTACTAAGAACTTGATTTCAAAACGTAAAAGAAGGTAATAAGGTAAAAAAATGCTTTTAAAGCTTTGATTTGTTATTTTTTGGTTGACTCAAGATTTTTACAAATGTCTTGTTAGTTTTATAAAGAAAATAATTTTTGCACTGAGGTCCACTTTCCCATGGAACCTCCCATATGTATACATACTACGTAGTTTAGGCTAAAAGGCTCAAATATAGAATGCATATCAAAAATTGCAAACAAAAAATTTCCACATACATTCTTATTGAAATGCATACATGTACTTACTATGTATGTACAGTTAGCGAGTTGCGAAATAAATTAACTCAATGAGGTACAACCAAACCCGCTACCGTCCATCCTTGCCAGCTAACTTTGTTCTTGCGTTCACATGCAAAATTTTTTGTTAATCTATTCTGTTCCTGCTATTTTTCTTTTGTGAATTTAATGTTTGTAGTCTTTTTATAAAATTCTAGCACATTACATAACCAGTACTACATAAGTCCACATTTTAAACTTCTTACAAAAATTATAAAAATTCAAAAAAGTTTAACAATTACACCCAAAAATTTTAAACGTTTCATCGAAAATTTTTAGAAATTTTTTAGGTATGCAGTTTTATAGCACATTAGACTTTAGTAGGTAATAGTGCAAATTTTAAGACGTTAGAAAATCGCGTTTATTTTTAATATTTTTTCTTGCTGACGGTGTTGAGCAGTTTCTTCCCATAAAAGCATTTTTTTGGTTGGAGATGTTTCACGTTTTTTCCATACAAGGTGTGTGCCAGCAAAAAAAAAATGCCAAAAATCAATGCGATTTTTAGCAGCTTGAAACTTGCACTTCATCGGACTAGAATTAAATGGGCTAAGGATTTGAAATTTTGGTGAAAATTTGCAAATTTTTATAATACTGCACAAAGTTTGCAATGTAAATCTATATGGTGGTTGCTGTATAGCCAGCTAGCCTTTTATAAAAAAAAATATAAATAAACACCAAATAGCCAAAACTGGGCTTGAATCGTCACATACGATAGCGTACCCCTCGTCACGGGAAAACACATTTTTCAGATTATGGCATACGTGAACGTTACTCTTTGTGCCATTCAGCTTATACTGCCTGACGTATCACGTAATTTTCTTTCGTATCGTTTTCGATCCGTGAACGGATGTTACGATTCGAGCCCTGATCAAAATATGGCATCCCTATTATTTTGTGGACCACTAGACAGTTTAAGCCTGCGTAAACCCAGCGAAAAATTATGCGCTGCAATATCACCGAACGTAATTAACCTCCGCCAACAAAACCTCGAAAAATCCACCACATCGGCAAAGAAAAAGTACACAAAGGAAGGCTAAACATGTTTTATTGTTTCTGGTTCATGTATACATATGTATGTATACGTATATTCATTTTTAAGAGAGACCTAAACTACTAAGCGCGCGTCGATTTCGCTACACGCGAAAGACAGCATATCGCTAAACGCAGACTAGAAGTGATATTTCTATATACCATATATGTATGTATCTATGTATGTGTCAACACAGGCATACATATTTACTTACTTTTATTATTTTGTATTGGCGTTCTCTAATATAGTATGCTTATAAACTCTTATACTGAGAGCAAGCTGCTGGTAATACATACATATATAGGTATAAGTACATATCGGTATAAATTTAGGAATTTTAAAAATCGCACTCACTTGAAATACTACACGCGTCCGCAACTTCTTGCCATAGTTTTTCTGTAGTTCTTTGTTTCATGCCGAATGGTATCTTCTTTTTATCCCACAAAAATTCTCTTTTGTGTACTTCGGCTATAAAATCTTCCATCGTCGACAAAGTTCAATACAATACTGCGGGCATTGCGATATTTTCGAAGCCGAAACGCAGTGAATGCGACTAACGCAACTGAGCAGTGTTGTTGGCACGAGCAGTTTGTGAGAGAAAATTTGTAGCACGATTGAGAAATACAAAGGTTGCGCCCATGGTACAATAAAAACAGGTAGAAGCCAAATTGACATTCAAACCTACAAAAGTCAAAGTTTTCGGGAGAGTAAAAATAAAAATGAGCGTGTGTAAGGAAAAATAAAAAATTACATTTCACTGGTTGACGTTTTTAAGTAAATTTGAAGTTTAATTTTATTTATTTATTTTCTCTAGTTAAAATTTGTTAATTCGTTTGTTGTTTTCTGTCTTTGAATTATGAGTTGCAGTGTTGTTGGAAGGACTTTCTGGCATAAGGGTCATAGGAAGAGCACTTGGCATCAAACGTGCCTTTCCTGTACCTCCTGGTGCATTTATAAAATCTGCTGCTTTAAAATGCTTAACGCACAGCAAGGCATTTCGCTGCAGCTCTACCCCACAGCTGCTTTCCCAACGCTCCTTACGCTGAGGGCATTGAGGCACGTTAAAAAAATTTGTGATGTCTGCATTATATTTAACACCACATAAAAAACAACGCTTCAGGTGCTGCATTTTTAACACATACACTAAGTATAAACCGCACAACACTACAAAAATGCAAATGTTAATTAAAATTTGTTTTAACGAACATTCAAAAAAAACAAACGACATGACATTTTAAGCGTAACGAAATATAGGAAATAAAAT